TAAGAAAGGTGTGGCTGAAGCAGGTAGTTTCAGTGATGTTGTGTTGTAAAAAATGGAAGGAGTTTGATGGAAGTAGATGAGTATTAGTGATTTTCGTATGGTTTTCTTTTTTGACCTCTCTCCTTTTGTTTTGCCTGTGCCTCTCCCCTCTATATTGACAATAGAATCGAAAAGAAATGGGGGGGAGGGAAATAACAGCCATTTGAACACTTGTGGTATACTGTGCTGATGTTCTTTGTTGCAGTTTTTGGTTTTTTCCATTTTTGTACAAGTCTTGGACATGATTTGGATAGTTTTATGCACAGTTTTTGGACAGTTATGCAAAGCTGTAGCAGAAGCAGCAGCTGTTTTTTATGATAGCAGTTGGCTTGGTAATTTTGGGATTGCTAGTGGCCTAGGTGATATCTTTCTCTTTCCCTCTTCATATTTCTATGATACAAAGCCAAATTGCTTTTTCTTTACTCAAAAATTCTGAAGGGTTTGCTAGTTTAGGAAAATGATGACACCATGTTTTGATAGCTTGCATTGTTAATATCTTGCTGCTTTGTTTCTTTTGGTGCATTACTGCCTGTTATTTGGCACCTTTGGGCTGCTGCATTGGCTTGTTTGGGCAGCTTATTTGGTTTGCTGCAGTAGCTTTGTTGTTTTGTGCATTTGCTGCAGGCTTATACTGCTGTAGTTTTGCTTTTGTTTGCATGCTTTAGGAAGCTTGGCTGCTGCTGGCCTGCTGTTAGCTGCCTTGGGTAGTTTGTTGTTTGTAGTTTGCCCTTGTTGACTTTCTTATTGTGTGCAACCTTGGGCTGCTGTGCTTGCTATCTTTTTTGTAGATTTGCTATATTAATAGGCAGCTTGGCTGCTGCTGCCCTGCTGTTTAGCTGCCTTAGGCAGTTTTGGACTGATGTATATTTGTTGCTTGCTAACTTGCTTATTGTCTGTTTTGAACTTGCTTATAAATTTCTCCTTTTTCCCCTTTTTTGTGAACCAAGAAAGACGACTTTCTTGTGATTTGCAATTGGGGGGGAAATGGAATATGATGAAACAAACAAACATTCTGATTCTAAGCCGCAAACCCTAATGATGAATTATTATTTTTCACATATTATTTTGCTTGAATTTCGCTAACTTTTCCTTTTCTTGTTTCATGAACGGCAAGCGAGGGTTGGATGCAAACACAGATTGGATGGCTTACTTGAAGATGAAGATGAAGACTTGAAGAAGAAGCTTCTCTTTGTAAACTTGGTAAACGACAAAATTTGTAATTTTTCTTTGTAACCAAGAAATTTGTGATTTTTGTAAACAACAAAATTTGTAATTTCTCTTGCAGTGTAATAATACAAAGAGTTGAACAACTTTGGTATGATAGGATCTTATACAAATTTTTGTATTCTAATTGAATTTTTGAAACTCCCGATCAGAATATTTGAAATAAAATACTTCAATCTGGTAACTTGAATTCTAAATAATCACAATTGACTTCGTAAATGCATTTCAAACAAACTTGTACCTTGTACTCCAATTCCTAAACAAAATAAATGTTTAAGAATGTAATTCAATTGGTAAACTTGAATCCAAAATCATGATTGCTTTAAATAATAGTCTTAATCTTCACATCTTGTCCAAACAAACATGCTCTTAAGAACAATCATCAATCCTTCAGTAAACTGTGGTTAAGAAAAATTCAAAATAAACAAATGCCTTGCAACGATTCAATAGTTTTAAAATCTTCCAAACCCAATTTTCCTTCAATTCTTCGAAGATAAGCAATGTGAGGTTTTAAAACTGACTTAAACAACCTTGAGGAGACATGAAGACCTATGAAGACCATTTGAAACCTTGAAGACTCAATTTTCTTTGAGAAATGCAAAACCCTAATTGTTGACTTACTGCCTAGGAAGAGAATCTATCTGATCAACTTCTGAGCCAAATTAGGTATTTGAGAAACCCTAGGATAGCATCTTGAATGAAAAATGGGAGGGAAAATTTTGGGGTACAACACATGGAATTAATCAGAGATCTTAATGCTACTTGTTAGACGACAATTTATCTATAGGGGGAATGAACAGATCACCAAGCTAAAGTACCAATTAAAAATGGAGTTTTTAAAAAATTAATTGAAAAGAGTGCAAGCAGACAACTTTAATATAGATAAATAAAAGTCGTCTATACGAACTTAATTATTGGAACAAAGATATGCAATTAAGTCTTATGAAATGAACAACACAATAATATGAATTTATACACTTGAAACAAGCAACACAATATTATTCGTTTATAGCAAGTTACTAGCAATTCTATTTCAAATGAAATTAACCAAAACTAACGAATTATGCAATTTATCAAACACTTCGTGTGCAAACGAATTTTAAGAATTTTTCCTTGAGTTGTTTTGATATGAAAAAGCACTTATAATTAAAGTGATTATAATCTAATCAACACCCAATTCAAAACAAGAACAACCACAGAAAAATTCTTACGAGTTGATCGATTAATTGATGTTACTTAATAAATTGCTTAATGAAAAGTAAAGTAAGTAAAGAGATAAGAGAGTGAGACACAAGAATTTGTTTAGGAAGTTCATCAATCGTCCTCGCTATGGCTACATCTCCCCCCAATTTTGTTTCGAAATTAGGATAATTTCTTACTATGCAAAAAATTGATTACAAGAGAAGTGTTCCAAGAGCAACCCTATAAACCCTAACTGTTTGTTGTTAATTCAACCTCTTCTCTTCATTTGATCTTGAGAAGGACCAAGACACAATAACTATCAATTGATTTATCAAACTTGTTACTCCTCTGGGTACCAAACTCCAAACTCTTTCACGCATGATCAATTGTAAATATTGAACATAAGCAATTTCAATTTGATTCACCATTCTCTTGCTGCTTTGTTGGGTACAAAATCCCGAAAGATTTTCACTTGGCCGCAATCGTCTTTTTAAGTTTTGAACAAAATCCCCCAAATTTACCAAAGATCTTGGAGGATAAACCCTAGGTTTTTCTGGATGAAACCCCCCCACAATTCTCAACCCAATATTCTCGGTTATACAAAAACCTAATTGCATGTTATCAAACCTCACATAAATGGCACCCTGATAAAAGATGATTATGTGTAATTTATCAGTGTGTATGCATAAGTTGAAGATTGGAGGTGAAGAGAAATGGTAGTAAGTGTTTATAGTTTTATCAAGTTGAATGATGCATGAATGATGTATTTATAGTTGTGGAAGTTTGTATGCAAAGAGGTAATTTTTGGAATTAAAAAGAATTGAAAAATTGACCCAATCAAATAATATGTGCCTTCCTGAAACACGTATGTTCCAGCACACAAGTAAAAAATTAACAGTATGTGCCAGCCTGAAAAGGCAGGTATGCCGACCTATGCAAGTCAGTAGCTACAACCTTTAATAGACAGTAGATATGCCGGCCTAAAAGTCATATATACCGGCATATAAAACTGAAAGTTACAATATGTGTCGGCCTGAGTGAGAATGTGTCGGCCTATATCAAATAGAAGCTACAAACTTCATTATTGAGTTACATGTGTCGGCCTGAAACACGTATATGCCGACACATGCAAACAATTTTTATGCAGAAAACTATTTTTTAAGGTTTTGGTCAATTTGAAAGTGGTTTTTGAATGATTCCTAAGCCTCTAATACAAGGGGGTGCCACATGATATAGAGATATCTTCCAATATACATAAATGCTAAATTTTCCTAGTTTTGACATCATATAAAACACCTAATGATGAAGTTGCACTCACATATGTGTCTGTCTCAAGGGGCAACAAGGATTACTTCACGAGGATCTAACATATATAATCACTTTAAAAGGGCGACATGGGTTCCTTCGTGAGAATCCATCATATATGACCGCTCTTCTGTAATTTTTTAATCCATAATGCACTAACATTGCAAATGCAGAAAAGTGAAACACTAAAGAAGAAGAAGATAACCATTAAATTGGGAAAATGACTCAAAGAAAGCAACATTGACTCTTTGAGGAATATATTTTAGCATGCAAAAGGAAATAGACTCTATCAAACACGTCAAATCACTCGCACTCAACACTTATGTGTTTCTATTCCCGAGTCGTAATAATGACACTTTCGAAAAGACGTTTGGAGTATGAAGCATTAAATGCCCAAATCTCCAAGGGGCTAAAACATTTTCTCTTGCTCCTCCAAACATAAAGACGAAAGTGGTCGGAAGCCGAAGCTAAAGTAACAAACCTATGCTTTGTTTAGCATATACACAGGCTTGGGGGACAACTGTTCTAAGCTTGCCACACCGGCCCCGACCGACCACTTAGAGAGAATAATAATCATTTCATAATATTCTTAGCACACGAGAATTCTCCTCACGACGATAATAAAGATCTCAATTGCAACTGCATCCAACAAGTCTCTGTAATTCACTCTAAACTAATAGCAAATTTGTTATTTCCTCTCTCATATATATAGAGAGAGAAGGCGCCAAATTCAGAAAAAAAGTTTCAAACACAATTTCAATTCACTGTTCTTTCTCACATATTGACTTAAATATTGAAGTGCTAATATTACATGTCAGTCCCATCTCCTCTGTGTCAGAAGCTCAAATCCACAACCATTTCTGATCTTCACTCTATTTCTAGTTTCAGAATGAAACACAAATATATTAAAAAAAATCAAATATATTTTAGAAAGTAAAGGTAAAATCCATAACTTTAAAATAATTTAATTGATAGCATAAAAATAATTTACGACGTCAATTAGTCATTACCGTAAAAAAAAAAATATAATTAAAAAAAAAAGTTAAAAAAAAAATAAAAATAGATGGATTAAAATATAAGACCAAAATTGTATATAAAGTGATGAGAATTAATAATCTAGGGTTTTCAATAAACAAAAAGTATTTGGGCAAGGTGCATCCCCCTTAGTCCTCTTCTCTTCAAATTCAATCCACCAAAAACCCTCGCACGCAACTTTTCCCATTTGCTCCTTCACCTCTGCACTTTCCACCATGGGAAGGGGAAAATTCAAGGCCAAGCCCACTGGTCGCCGCAACTTTTCTAGCCATGAAGACATGGGTAAGTTCAATTCAATCAACACCTTTTTTATTTTTCTGCTAGATTTCCGATTTTATTTATCATCTTTGGTGTGATTGATACACGTTTAAACGAGGGAAGTTTGAATTGATAGATTTTGGTTGGTGGGTTTGCTTTGATTTTCGTTCATCATCGCACGATTTCATTTTTTTTTTTTTGTTGCATAATTTGATTATTTAGATTAAAATATATTTATTTGACTTGTGGGTATGCCTTTGATGGTTTTGATTTGCTATTAGGATGTTTATTGTTCAAAAATATTGAAGTTTTTATTGCAAATGTTAGATCTGAATGGACTGCAAGTTTGAAGTTTTCTAAAAATTTGTTGTTAGAATTGAATTCAAGTTACTGTTTGTTGGTAGGGTTTGTGGCGATGCCTTTTTGGTTTATAAAAAAAGTTACTGTTTGTAGCTTTCTCTATATGAAACTTGTTGAGTCTTTCGCTTTTGTTTGATTCTTTTTTATGGTTAACTAAAAGCTGCACTATAGTTGAATGAGACACAAGTTATGCCTTTGATGAAAAATATATGCTATTTTGGTAATTATATCGATTCAACAAACTGTTCTGAAATGAAAACCTGATGTTTCATATGATCAATGATGCAGTTGCTGGCACCTCCACCCGTCCTAGGACTTTTAGACAGGTTTTCTTCTGCCTCCTACTCCATCTTTTATTTCTGTTATTGACATGCATGCACCAGTGTGACAGAAGATTGTGTTTCCATCTCATGATGCTTTAATATAGTTTTTAAGATTACATGGCATGTCACTTTATATTTTATAACATGTCACTTTTTAAATCCGGGTTCTGTTGAATCTTAGTTTCTTCTTTTTCTTCCTCGTGTACAAATCTTTTGGTAGTCAAAGCCACCGTAAACACTTGAACAGTCACACTGCTATAGCCACACAACATATTATGTAAACCAACCACCTCAATGTCTTCATCAAACATCCTAGCCTAAAAAATGAACGACACTCATTTCTTTGAAGCTCAATAGGTTGCTATCCTATCCTCCAGTGGCGAAGCTTGACTTATTATTCCGAGGGGGTCAAATAGTTAACGGCTGTATAGTTTATATCAATTGGTTGTGGTGTAGTGGGTTGATCTTTTATTTTTTCTTAAATGTACTGGGCTCAAATCCTATCTTGTATATAGTTAATATGTAATCTTTTTTTTTTTAAAAAAAAAGGTCCCCTACAGCCTATAAAATTTGATTTTATACGTAAAAAGGCATTTTCTGGATTCAAACTCAAGCTTGGGCACTTCAGATAAGGGTCTTTGCCACTGTGCTACAACAAACATTCGGAAAGCTTGTTATCAAATCAAGTGTGTGCGTGTGTGTGCAATTTTGTTTTGGGGGTGCCATGGCACCCCCCTTGTCAACGAGAAGATTCCACACGCTGACTCTAATCCAATCAACCAACCAACTACCTAGCCCATGTGCTGTTATCCCTTCAGTTTCTCTGTTTCAAGAGCAGAACAGTTCTAGATTGCTTAATTTTGTAAGCTCCACAACCCGAAGCTCTATAGGTTAGGCACCAGAGAGAAAAAAGAGAAGTAGATAGAAGAAGTTTATTGGAATTGACTTATGGGTTGAAGATGCAGAAAATGTTTGTTGATGTGTGGGGTAAAACAGCACATGACGAAGTTACTTCGGATCTTTTGATATGTCATCAATCAATAGATATTCGATAAAGCCAGGGTCCAAATTTACTTTTGAAATTTGTGCTCTAAATTTAACACGCACCAAAATTAAATAGTGCGCTATATTTTCAAGAGTATAAACATACTTTAACCTTTTGTGTGGGAGGATTACACAATTTGTCTGTGCAGCGTTTGTCTTAAATGGTTTTCCATTTTCTTTAGATGTTTTACAAATGAGTATTATGTAACATGGTAATTTTCTTTACAATCTTATTAGAAAGAAGCTGAGAATGAAGAGGAGCCATCTAAAGAAGTTTCCGAGGACGAGTCTGAAGAAGAATCTGAAGATGAAAATACTGTCAGTACATTACAATGAGACGTCTCTACAATCTTCTTTTGTATTTTTCATTTATATGTTTCAGCTGTTTCTATGGTCTTCCTACATCAATATGAAATTGATTTCGCTATATAATGTCTGCAGAAGGCAAAGGGTGTTCAAGGCGTTATTGAGATTGAAAATCCTAACTTGGTAAAGCCCAAGAACATTAAGGCTAGAGACATTGATGTGAGTTCATTGATCCATTTTTTGTCCTTAGATATTTTTTTTTACATTTAAGTCATGTGAAAAAGAATAATGCTATTTTCTTCCCAATGCAGATTGGGAAAACCAGTGAGCTTTCAAGGCGTGAAAGGTATGCTTATAAATTGACACAATGCAGTTATAAATTGACAAAATATTGAAGATGAAGCTTCTGTATTAACAGATTTTTTAATTTTTAATATTTGCCTTCTGTTTTCAGAGAGGAGATAGAGAAACAGAGAGCTCATGAGCGCTACATGAAACTTCAAGAGCAAGGAAAAACAGAACAATCCAGGAAAGATCTAGGTATGAGTATCTCTCGAACCAAACAGGCGCTTACTATACCATCTTCTTTAAGTGATTCAACGATGTGAGATTCGAATTCCCGATGTCTAATGTTCTATATCCTTGTCTTTCAGATCGTTTAGCTCTGATACGCCAAGAAAGAGCTGAAGCTGCTAAAAAGCGAGAAGAAGAGAGGTTGGGTATGTATTGAACAAAAATTTTCCTGCTTATTTTTTGCTGACATGCTCTGAAGAATGAAATTTGAACCGATAATTGTAACTTGTTTCAGCCAAAGAACAAAAGAAGACCGAAGCTCGCAAGTAAATTTCATGGAGTTTTACTCCAATTTGCTGGAGGAATATTCGCACTTGCTATATTTTAACATTTTATATGTCCATTCTCCTTATATTGAATATGAACATTCCATGCCTGGTAGTGTGTTTCTCTTCACTTATGACTTGAAATTTTCTGTATGTGGCTTTAGGTGATCTAAATTCAGCTTTAAGCATAATTTTTGCCCTGCCTAGCACATGTTTCTGTCAAGAGTTTTAAATCGATTTTTTTGGCATAAGCCTAACTTTGTTAGGGCAATATCTATCTTTCAGGAGTGTTGAAAAAGAGTGTTCGTTCTTCGTTACATTCTCTTATCTTGATATGCTAAAGGATAATGCAAATCAAACCATCGAGGTTGTGAACAGTCACAATTTGTCACATTAGACAAAATAATTTACTAAAATTTGTTTTATTTATTTAAATTTTTAGTTTCTCTTCTCTGTCTACGCATAGTTTTTTTTCCTTCCTTTTCTTGCATCTAAATTACCATAATTACCATAAAATATAATGGTACTATGATATAATGGAATTCATGGTCTATAATCAGGATCTTGTACGGAAAAGAGAAACAAAAAGAAACTATAAAATAATACTAAAATCTGACTTTTTTTTGGGTACATTTGATAATTAATGTATGTAGTTTATATATGAATTACTTACATTAATTGTCAAATGTACATAAAAAAAATTAAATTTGTTTATAATTTGTTATGGAGAGAATATATTACTTACATCTCTATCATTTTTATATTTGTTTAAAGGGTTAAGTAGTACTCCCTCTGGTTACTTTTATATGAAAAAGTCAATTTATTTATGTATCTGGACAATAAATTATTTAAATATATTATTTATTAATGTATCTAAAAAAATTCAATGTATTTAAAAAGTGATTTATTTATTTATAAATAAAATCAAGTCAAAATAGAAATTTATAATGATTCAACTCTTCAGTGAAGAATCTGAAGATGAACATATATAATTAAATTTTATAAACTTTTCGTGTTGATTGATTATGTTAAGTATTATTTCATCCGAAATGATTATAAGTAAATTTGAATTTTTTAAATATATTTGACAATTAATATATTATGTATAAGATTAGGTATATCACATGCTATTGGTATAGTTAATAGATTTTTGTCAAATCCAACTAGAGAGCATTAGAATGATGTAAAATATTTTAAGGTATTTTTGCGGTATTACTTATACGAGGCTTTGCTTGGGAGGAGATAAATCTACTCTAGTGAGATACTTTGAATCTGATATGTCTGGAGATATTGATTTTAAAAATTCTATTTCAGACTACATTATTAAATTTGCAAGGGGAGATGTGGCTTGACAGTCCAGATTGTAAAAGTGTGTAGCATTGTCTACTATATAGGTTGAGTTCATTACCATTACCGAAGCGTGCAAATAGTTACTATGATTGAAGAAATTTTTGCAGTAGATTGGTTTTATTCAAGAAAAATATGTGTTATTTGTTGTTTGTAAAATGCTATTCATCTTGGTAAGAATATGATTTTTCGTAATAGGTCCAAACTCATTGATGTGAGATATCATTGGATATGTGATGTTTTAGATGCGGAGTTGTTGGAGTTAGCTAAAATTCATACAAATGATCATGGTTTTAGTATGATGACTAAAACGTTATCAAAAGGAAAATTTGAAGCTTGTTGTGATATCGCCGATTTAGCGATTTCTTCCACAGAGTTGTTAGGGGAGTTTTGTTGGGCTTGAGCTCCCTTCTATGTGAAGAAAGATTCAAATATGAATAGTTTATTTGTCTCACTTATTTAAGTGAAGAGTATCAATTTAGGGTTGAGAGAAATAGAGAGAAAATAAGGATTCAAAAGAGAAAAAAGAAGAGAAACTCATTTCCGTTTTTTCTGCATCAATCTCACTAAATCGACGATTCCCAATTCGTTAGCCATTGGATCGAACTCAAATTTAGAGGGTAGATTCGCAATACATATATCTAACTTTTGACCGTTGAGATCTTCAAAATGAAATTTGAACTGAGAGATAATTGCTTCACACTGAAGTTGTAGATTTGGATAATCTTTTCCAGTTTTTTGGATTCTTATTTGTAAGTTAGTTTGCTTGTGATTTGCGGTTGTTATAACTATTTTGTGAATCATTTTAAGACTCTATTGTAACCTCAATTGATTATAGTGGAGTTATTTCTTTGGTCTGGACGATTTACTCTCATATTGAGAGGTTTTCCACGTTAAAAATATCGGTATTCTTTTGTACTTTTATTTGTTCGGTTTGTCGTCTTATATTTGTTATTGATCCTCAAGATTCCTACAAGTGAAGGGATTTTTATTTCCGTTATGTATTATTTTGTTATTTTGTTTTAATTTCCCATAACTTCTAATTGACATGACAAAAAAAAACATTGTAAACAATGTATAGGGTATTCAAATGTTGATATTTGTACGAGCTATCTAAATTTTGATATATGTATAATTTATATTAGAACCCTAACTTTCAAATTTTGAAAACTCAAACCTCCAACAAACTAGTAAGAAAATGGATAGAACATTGACATTAGATGAAATATAATGCACTTTAGTTAAAAATAAAAAAGAAATTGAAGGTATCATAGTCACAAGAAGCAAGGTGAGGATGCAGAGCGATTAAACTTACCGAATATTTTTCAAATGTGAGGAATGAATGATTGCAATTGATTAAAGAATTTAATTTAAATGAGAAAGAATAGAAATTGAAAGATTTTAGATAATTTTCACGCAAAGAGTGTTTCTTGATGTTATTGCAAAGAGTGTTTCTTGATGTTATTGTGCTATTTGCTATTTTGATTTCAAATGTTAATGACTAGAGAGGAAAAGACGGTTCGTTTGATTATAAAGAATACATATAGAGATTGATATCGGCATGGGATATCCGGAGAGCAATACACCCATTTATATATTAGATGGGTTTAGATCTCTGCCGAGAGTGAGTCTAAATTGTAGTATAGAGACACTTTTAGGAATTTATAGTAGGGAGGAACTTAAATAGACAATCCTATAAGAAATAACTACAAGTTTGAAAAGCCAAATCCAAATACTTGTCAGAATTAAGTACCTTATAATTTGGGATGTTAAAAATTGGGTCATCCATAATCACATCATACCCAATTTTAAAAGGGATCATTCATTTTATCATATATGTTTCTCACAAATCCTATCAAAAATTCAAAAATGCCCCTATTCGAATTCTTTGAAAAACACATTTCTTCAAACTTATTACAAAAAGTTGCAGAAATAAAAGAAAACAATAATACAAAAAGCCTCAGAAACTGACTAAATTCAATAGGATATATGAAATGAGTTAATGTCATGAACGCATGAAAAAATAGAGCGAATAGGTGCTTCTTTGGTCAATGTTTGAATGCATTGCTACACTTTTTCTTAAGCATACACCAACAAAAATTAGAGATCCATTATAGAGAGAAGGAGCAAAAAATTTGAAGTTCCAATAATTTGCTTTATCAGTGTGCATGCATAGCATTAGAAGACAGAAATATAATTATAGTTAAGACTAATAAAAGAACAGACTTTAAAATGAATGAATATCTCAAAACAGTGCAAAATATAAATAACACAATAAAATTGCATGTTTCCTAAACATTTTGCTAATATTGAACATAATTCTCTACCAACTAAAGCAGAAACTTTTTAGTTTGATGCTGTCTAACCAATCATCTTCATTGTGTCAGTTCAATCTCTACATGGTATAAACAGGAAATAAATTTGGGAGTAAAAATACAGAGACTTTTACAACATACTCAAGCGGAACAACATCCACCTTTCTTCACAGCTGATACATCATCGCGGGAACCAACATTAATCGTCTGTCCTTTAGGTAAAGCCGCTGGATCATCACCAATCTCAAGGGCCTTCTTGCTTACAACGCGGTATATCTGCGTCAACACTTCTGTGAAGGCACTTTCAACGTTCAATGACTCAAGGGCAGATGTCTCCATGAAAAATGTATTCTCCCGTTCAGCAAAAGCTGTAGAATCTTCCGTTGAAACTGCTCGCAAGTGACGCAAGTCTGCTTTGTTTCCTACAAGCATCACGACAATGTTGGCATCTGTGTGATCTCTCAGCTCTTTTAGCCATCTCTCCACGTTTTCAAATGTTACGTGGCGGGTAACATCATAGACTAATAAAGCGCCAACAGCTCCACGATAATAAGCACTTGTAATTGCTCGGTACCTTTAGTAATGAAAAGAAAACTGAAATTAACTATAACTTCAGAAATCAATAAAATACAGTATGCTAGATCAATAGTAATGTGGAATCTAGAAACACGTTCAGATTAAATTTACTTTTTATTCTTATATTTCTCGTCACCTAGATCTTATCGATGTCCTTGGAAATGTATCACAGTTAATAAGAAAAGCAAGCAATAATGGCAAGGTCGTTTTGAAGACATGCAAGGAGGGCTATCGCACATGGTCTAAAATTTGTCACAATTAAAATTTGGGTAAATAAGATCTCATAAAATGTTTGTCATATTTAAACTGCGGTTAGAAAAGACCTCTATCTGTTTTGTCACTGTAACTAATCAAATCAAACGGCTCTGATAATGACTCAAAGATTTTAACTTAGCTGTATCAAAGCAGACAACAAAAAGAACTGCTGCACGTCTAATTTAAGAAATAAAACAGCCTTGTAACACATTGAAATTCACAAATTAAACAACATAGTTAAACTAGCAACAAAAACAACCAAGCCTTATCACACTAAGTGGGGTCGACTACATGGATCAACATCTGACATAACATTCTATCCAATAAGCCATGATAAATGTTGCTAAACAAAATACTTCTATTCATCACATTATTTCATAGTTGATCCATATCATAGAGATTCGACAAAGTTTTACGTTGGCCGTTGACTACCTAACACAATTAAACTAGCAATAAGAACAGATTCTAGTGGCAGAGTGCATAGCCAAATAAAAAGGAAATACAAATCTCT